ATAGAAAAAGTCAAAGAGTACTCACAGCAGTTATAAACTGGTGAATAACTAAAGAACCCCATATCTAGTTATACTTGTGATTTATGTCCCTTACGATATGTTCCAGCCTTCTATAAATTCCACCACAACTATTTCCTAAAGTGCTTAATCTGTTTCAAGAGTAAGAGTGTTTGTGTGTGCAAAACATTTGAAGATTGCTTAGAACTGGATTTTTATGGAGCTACTTTTATTGTTGTGTTGTACGCTTCCTAGAGCTACATGTTTGCGATATGGATGGCTGTGTAAGTACGCTAAAATAAAATAATATTTATTAGTGTCATTTAGTTTCCTGATCTTCCTTATTAGAAAAAAAAAGAAAAGAAAAGAGAATAGACATCAGACTTGACCTTTTTTTTAGGCAAGCAGAAAGCTACACAATTGTTCACTATGTTCACCTTTTAGTTTTAAGCTAAGGAAGAATTTAAATAATACCTATTTGGTCAATTTCTTCCCTTTAGCTAATTTCTTGTTAATTCTCACCCCCTTCTTCTGTTGAGTCTTCCTGTATCTCACTGGCTGCAGTGCACCATTCCATGCACATGAAGGCAGATGGTGCAGGGAGTATTCAGTGGGGAGACGAAAGTGGCAGAGTCTAGATCATAGCATGAGGATCTCTCTTATATACATCCGGTTTCTCATGGGAAGGTGTCCCAAAGGATCTGCCTCATTAGTCTCCAAAAGATCTTTTCTTTAGAGACTGGTTCCTCAGCCTTCAAGGGTGAAACATAGACCAGTTTCTAGAAACTGATGTGTTGTTGTTTTTTTTTGAAGTCTATGAGGTTCTGACACCCCCAGTCTTGAAAGCACTTCATTTAAAAAAGCAACATATTCTTTTCATATTCGGCCCGGGGGTCATGTGGCCAACTTTTGCAACAGTCTGACAAGCAAATTCAACTGGCAAGCCAGATTCACTTAACAACTAACTTAATAATGGCAACGATTCACTTAACAACTCTAGCAAGAAAAATCGTAAAATGGGACAAAACTCACTTAACAAATGTTTCACTTAGCAACATAAATTTTGGGCTCAGTTGTGGTCATAACTTGTGGACTACCTGTATTTTCTGCACAACGTCAACTCTTAGTCCATATGGCTTGGACTGAGAGAGAGAGTGATTGATCCAAAGTCACCCAGCCATGGTTTCCTGATTCTAGGCCAGCACCTTAACCATCAATCCAGATGCCCTTGTCTAAAGGCGTTTGCACACTGCAGCCTTCAGCTGCTTCTTTCTTGTGCACAGGTCTTCAGCAATTTCCAGGCTGAATTTCCAGGAGAAGCATAAAAATCAGTAAAATAAGCTAAAATTTGATGGGAGTAGGAAAAGGGGACCTCTTTGAATAATGTTTTTAGTAACTAGGCATGTCTTTGATTGATCCTCCTAATTTTTTGAAGTAACAAAGCAACAAAGTGGATTCCGATAAAGAATGTGAAATTCTGATAAGAATCAGTTCAAACCAGCCAGAGACAAGAATGCCCAGAAAGTTGAACTTTAGTACAGGTAATCCTCAACTTACAATCACAATTGAGTCCAAAAGTTCTGTTGCTAAGCGAGGCAGTTGTTAACTGAGTTTTGCCCCATTTTACGACCTTTCTTGTCACAGTTGCTAAGTGAATCACTGCAGTTGTCAAGTTATTAATGCAGCTGTGACGTGAATCTGGCTTCCCCATTTTTAACTTTGCCAGGTCGCCAAAAGTGATCACATGAACCCAGGACATTGCAACCGTCACAAATATGAGTCAGTAACCAAGCATCTAAAATTTTGTTCATGTGACCGTGGGGATGCTGCAGTGATTCACTTAACAACAAGAAAGGTCATAACATGGGGCAACACTCACGTAACAAATGTCTCACTTAGCAACATAAATTTTGGGCTCAGTTGTGGTCATAAATCAAGGACTACCTTTACATAAATAAAAAGGTATTAATCTATCTTTCCGACTCAGATTCTATTTTGGCCAAAGGCACACCGGGCTAAGAACTTTGCTTTTGTTTATGGCTAGCAAATGTTTGAACAGAGCTTGCTAGAAGCAGATAGATTGATGGCCCACTGCTAATTTATGGGAATTATCTTCCTTGTGCCACATAGAGATACTGATAAAACTGGACGCTATCTAACAAAATGAAATTCAATGGTGAAAAAAGTAAGGTTCTACATTTAGGCAAGAAAAACCAAATGTACAGGTATAGTATAGGGGGTACCTTGCTCAATAGTAGTAACTGTGAGAGGGATCTCGGAGTCCTAGTGGACAATCACTTAAACATGAGCCAGCAGTGTGCTGCAGCTGCCAAAAAGGCCAACACAGTGCTGGGCTGCATTAACAGAGGGATAGAATCAAGATCACGTGAAGTATTAATACCACTTTACAATGCCTTGGTAAGGCCACACTTGGAATACTGCATCCAGTTTTGGTCACCACGATGTAAAAAAGATGTTGAGACTCTAGAAAGAGTACAGAGAA